TCACTATGTAGACCAGGCTGGCTTTGAACTCACAGAGTTCCACCTGCCTCTGCCTCCCAAGTGCTGGGACTACAGGCATGCGCCATCATGCCTGGATTATTTATTTTTTTAATATATTTTATTCATTATTTTTATGATATTTTTTATTGTCTGCCTGTACGTGAATGCGCCCATGTCCTGCAATGCTGCGGAGGTCAGACAAGGGCATCGGATTCCCCTGGAACTGGAGTTAAGGACGGTTCATAGCCACCATCTGGGTGCTGGGAATTGAACCAGGTTCTCTGCAAGAGCAGTCATCTCTTCACCCCTGGAGGCACTTATTTTATAGCATGTCTTTTTATATAGTTTGTATTTTTATTGTTACTTGTAAGTATTACTCCTCCCCCAAAAAACTATTGCTGCCATGGCAACCTATGCCTGCAGTCCTTGACGTAGCACTTTGGAAACAGGAAGATCATCTGAATTCAGGAATTCAAGGCTAGCCTAGGCATCCTAGCAAGACCCCTTTTCAAAAAAATATTTTTATTAATAGTAATAAAAGAATTACTGTAGACTTATATTGGCTTCCATAAACCCACATTACCAACATATTTAAAAGAAATTAAAATTCAGTAGTTCTTAAAATTATGATTATATGTTAATGCTCATTTAATTTTAATATGTCTTGAAAGTTTTGAAAGTCTTTTAGTAGTTTGACATGTTTATGAGTACTATACATTTCTATCTTGTGCTAATAGTCACAAAATTTTTTGTTGCTAATTTGGGTTTTATATTCTTTCTTGTAGCAAAAAATGGCCCAATTTATGATGTGGTTTGGAATTCTAGTTCTACTGAGTTTTGTGCTGTGTATGGTTTTATGCCTGCAAAAGCAACAGTTTTCAACTTGAAATGTGATCCAGTGTTTGACTTTGGCACTGGTCCTCGGAATGCAGCCTACTATAGCCCTCATGGACACATATTAGTACTAGCTGGATTTGGAAACCTGAGGGGACAGATGGAAGTGTGGGATGTTAAAAACTACAAGCTTATTTCTAAACCGGTGGCTTCTGATTCTACATATTTTGCTTGGTGCCCAGATGGTGAGCATATTTTAACAGCCACGTGTGCTCCCAGGTTACGTGTTAATAATGGGTACAAGATCTGGCATTATACTGGTTCTATCTTGCATAAGTATGATGTGCCATCAAATGGAGAATTATGGCAGGTTTCATGGCAGCCATTTTTGGATGGAATATTTCCAGCAAAAACAATAACTTACCAAGCTGTTCCAAGTGAGGTCCCTCATGAAGAGCCTAAGGCTGCGACAGCTTATAGGCCTCCAGCTTTAAGAAACAGACCAGTCACCAATTCCAAACTGGTAAGTACCACCATGATCGGAAAGACCTACTCACAGTGGGGTTCTCTAGACCTTGTTCTTATTTTCTTTTGTTACTTAGTACCAAATTAGAATATAAACTCCAGAGATCACTAAGGCCCATAGAAGATGCATCATCTTATTAAACTGATAAAGAGGCTATTTAAAGGGTTTCACGATTAAATTTTTCTCTTCATTCTTGAGACATTCATACATATATACAATGAAATATGATTATACCTTTTATTTCCTCCTCAAACGCCCCTATATCCCCCTGACATCCCCCCGTCCCAACTTAGTCTTCTCTTTTTTAATAACCCACTAAGTCCATATGTGCATGGGTGTAGGGCCCTCCACTGAAGCATGGGAATCCCATCAGTGGCCACATACTCATAAAGGGTGATTCTCCTTCCCCCAGGAGCTATCAACTGCCAATAATTTTTCAGTAATGTGTGGGGCCTGGAAATTATCTACCCTGTCTATGCCAAAATTTTGGCCGGCTTAATTGTGTGCGGGTAGCCCCAGCTGCTATGAATTTGAGTGTGATAGCCATGTCATGTTTGGAAGAGTGTTTGACAGCATTCCTCCCCATCCTCCAGCTCTTAAATTCTTTCCATCTCCTCTTCCATGATGTTCCCTGAGCCTTGGTGATGGAGTGGCATTGATAATGTCCCTTTTAGGACTGAACACTCAGTCTCATTCTCAGCACTTTCACCAGTTATACATCTCTCCATGGACTGCTGCCCACCGTAAAAAGCATGGTGGCACACACCTTTAATCCCAGCACTTGGGAGCAGAGGCAGGCGAATCTCTATGAGTTCAAGGCCAGCCTGGTCTACATAGTGAGTTCCAGGCCAGCCTGTCTCAAAAAAAATTAAATAAAAAAGAAAGAAAGAAAAGAAGCTTTTGAACAAGGTTGTAAGCAGCCCAGGTCTATGGATATAAACAGTATTTAGAAGGCAATTGATAGCATGATCATTTAGCAAAATCACAATATCAGGTTTTACCCTAGGGCTTTTGACCAGGATTACAGTACCAGCCATGAAATTCCCCCCTGTGAACTAGGCCTCAAATCTAATCAGAAAGTCATTAGTTACCCAGTAACAGGCATGCCACTATTGCAGCAGTGGGCACATTTTGCCTTTCAGGTTGGTTTTGCATCATACAGAGTCCAGTGCTGAGTCAGACTGTTGATGTCTTATCTCCCCCAGCAGCCTGCTTAGCAGCTACTGGCACTGAAAGCTAGCCATCAGGAGGAGGTTTCGTGGTCAGTTTGACTTCTGTAAGTCCTGCAGCCAATACGGTCTCATCCTGAAGTTATGGCGGATAACCAAGGGCAATAGCCTGTGTTATTTTGAAAACCTCTGGGCCTCCCTGATAGATTCACAGTTTTTTAATTTCTGGGAGAGAAATCAGCTTTGTAGGTCAGGAATTCAAATTCAAATGCCAGAAATCGAGGCTGGCAGTGTGAGGTAACAGTTAGCAGGAGAGAATGTGAAGGAGAAAGTCCGCAAGGCCTGTGAGGCCCTAACAGCTACTCAACAGTAGCTGACTTTCCGTGGGAGAGCTGCGGTCTGGTTTGCCAAAACTGTTGATTTTTAAGACAAAATGGATCAGAGTACTTAAATGAAATTCCCTGTTTTAAAGGATTGTTGGACTGTAAACAATGGTCAGGCCATTAGTTCCTCACCTTTCCTAAGTATTGTTTGGATTCAAATATGATTTAAGACACTGTTTCAGAGCTCAAGAGAGAACACTGTTCTGCGATGATGTTGATAAATAAGGGATCTCCAAGCCTGAGCAACTCTTCATGGTGTCAGAAAAGTGGCCATTCTGGTGGCTGGAGAGATGGCTCAGTGGTTAAGAACACTGGTTGCTCTTGCAGAAGACCCTGGTTCGAATCCCAGCACCCACATGGCAACTAACAACTGTCTGTAACTCCAGTCTCAGGGGATCCGACAGCCTCTTCTGACCTCCGCAAGCACTGCACAACATGGGTGCACTTACCTACGTGCAGGCAATACACGCATATACATAAAAAAAATAAAATAATAAAATTTTTTTAAAAAGTGGCCATTCAATAGCCGTGAACGAGGACTGTTCATATAAACGGACTGTATGAACTCTTAAGTTACCAGCCATTCCAGGAAGTAGATAACTCTTTCAAGAATTAACAGTTGTTACCCTGCTCTTGACAAAAACAAAAGAATCCCCCCTTCTTTTTGACTATGCAAAATGCCTGGAGGTTCTTAAACTCCATTGAAGTGTTCTTTTTAAACATTCGCTTAACCTTCTACTCTCTGATTTTATAAGTAAACTCTGGCAATAATTCTACCAATGAATCAGAAAGTCCTTATTTAAATCTATTCTGGTGAACTGGGGAGATGGCTCAGTGGTTAAGAGCACTGGCTGCTCTTTCAGAGGACCCGGGTTCAACCTAGCACCCACATGGCGGCTAACAGCCATCCATAACTTCAGTTCCAAGGGAATTCAGTGTTCTCTCCTGAACTCTGTGGGCATTGCACAACGCAGGTGCAGTTACATGCAGGCAATACACTTACAAACATAAAAAATAGTACTAATAATTAAAATATAGATCTATTCTGGTAAGAATTTTGAAATGTTACTTACCAGTTATCTTAAAATAAGTCTAATAAACTTGTTTGTCCTATACTATGTTTGTGTGTGCCTTACAAACCATAGACTCCATTTCAGAAGTGTTTATTTTACATTTTCCATAGCATGAAGAGGAGCCTCCACAGAATATGAAGCCGCATCAAGGAAGTGACAAGCCATTGTCAAAAACAGCCCTTAAAAATCAGAGGAAGCACGAAGCTAAGAAAGCTGCAAAGCAGGTATTTGGAGCACCGATCTTCTCAGCACCAAACAAAATCCATGTAATCCACACTTAAGCATTACATTTAACCATTATATTCCTAAAAACTCGATTGTGATGTTATAAAATGTAGTTACAATTAAATTTGAATAGTCAAAGTAACTTTCTTTTGTGCTTGCCTGTGAATTTCTTACCTTTTTGGTTGTGGGCCTGAGCCTTTTAACAGCTGTGTCAGCTCTGCAGCCCTTGCCCCTGAATCTCTAAGTAATCTTAGCTATATACTTAGTAACTGTGTCTGCTGTCTATCACAGCAGTGGAGTTTCTGGGATAACCAAGTCATAAAGACAGGTTTATTTTGACTCAGAGGGTTTGGTTTGTTTTTTTTTTTGTTTGGATTCTAAAATGGTCTTGGCATATAGTTCCTGTGGAATTCGACTCACAGTCCTCTCTCCTCAGCCTCCTAAGTGCTGAGAATTATAAGTATGTACCACTGTGCCCTACAAACATGAAATTACTCCCATCACCCCCTGCTTTTGGTGGTGCTCGGGACTGAACCAGGGCGTTCGTTGCATGTGCTAGGCAAGTGTTCTGCCAGTGCTGTGTTCTAGGTTTGGTTTTGTCCATGGTTAATTGGCCCTGTTGCTTTGGGCCTGTGGTGGCATGCAGCCTAGACATCATGGTAGAAGCTTTGGTAGAGCAGAACTGCTCTTCTGCATATGAGCTAGGGAGCAGAGAAACGAATAAGATGCTCCCATGACCTGAAAAATCAGGCTCCTCCTAAAGGCTCCACACCTCTTAGCAGCACTACCCTGAGGAACAAGCATTTAAAATATGGACTTGGAGCTCCTTCCAGATCAGAGTAGTAATGAAACAAACTGGACCTGACCTCAAAACCTTAGAGGGGAGAGTCAGAGGACAGCTTACAGGAGTCTTCCTGCCCTGTTGAGGCAGGGTCTCAATTCTGCTGCTGCACTGTGTACTCCAGGCTAGCTGGCCCACGAGCTTAGGGGCCATTCTCCTGTCTCCTGGTTCTGCCTTGCACATCTTGCATTTCTTTTTACATGGGTTCCAAAAGATCTAAGTCTTCTTAAGTGGGGTGGTCAGGGATTGACTGGGACTTGCTTCTTTTTTGTTGTTTTGTTTTTTGTTTGTTTTTTGAGACAGGGTCTCCCTATTCACCCAGCTGGCCTGGAACTCGCTGTGTAGACCAGGCTGGCCTTGATCTCATGGAGATCCCTTTGCCCTGCCTCCAAGAGTGCTGGGATTACAGGTGGAGGCAACCACATCCAGCTGGGCTCCACTTCTTAATACTGTCGCATTGGGCGCTGAGTTCCAAACATGCTACTTCTGGAAGGACACTGACGTTCAAACTGTAGCAGTGAAGTAGATGTTTAACAGCTTATTATATCACAAATACAGTCTTGCTGGTAATGATTTTATTTTGACCAGGTCTAATTTGCTTGCGTCTTTTTTTTTTCTTTTTTTTTTAAAGGTTTAATGAATTTTTGTGTATTTCTTACAGAACATTTAATCATCTTTATACCCCCTTCCCCATTGGCTCCCTCCCGTAACCCCCCACCACTGGAATTCATACATTGTCGCTTGTGTTAAGGCCTGTCATGTCGTTAGTGTCCCTAGATGTCCCAGGCGCAAGTTCATCCACTGAGATCTAGTCAGCCTATCTAGAATCCCTCCCTTTAAGAAGATCAGCTCTTCCTTACCCAGCAGTAATCAACTGCTAATAATTCTTCAACTAAGATTGGGGCCTCCTATCCATTTCCACAGTTTTGTGCTGGTTTTTTGTCTGCTTGAGTTTGCATGGGTCTTATGCATGCGGACATATTGTTCTAGGTTCATATGAGAAGAGTCCCAGGAGCTTGTAGGACTCTTACTTCCATATGGTCAGTGAGGAGGGATGAGACCAGAAAGATAACTGTCTCCTCATTATAGGAGCAATATAGTATTCCTTTAACTCCATGGTTAAGTCATCACAAGAGTGAAACCCTAAGCCCCTTAGTTAGAAAAGCCCTCTCAGATTTCAAACTTCATATGGTGGCACATCTGAGAAAATTCAGAATTGTGGAATGTTTGTTAATGGACATCGAAGCTCCAGGTTTACTCTGAATAAGTTACTTTGTTTCTATTATGGAATATGTAGGATATGTCATGAAACCTTGAATTCAGATTTTTTTATAGAAAATATAAAGTCCCATATTTGTCTTCTATATTTTATAAACCAATATCATGTTAATTGAAATACATTATTTTCATGTTTTTTTATTTTTTTATTTATGTGTATGCATATATTGCCTGCATGTAGGTAAGTGCACCTGTGTTGTGCAATGCCCACAGAGGACAGAAGCTGTTGGATCCCCTGGAACTGGAGTTATGGACAGTTGTTAGCTGCCATGTGGGTGCTGGGATTCGAACCTGGGTCTTCTGCAAGAACATTCAGTGTTCTTAACCACTGAGCCATCTCTCCAACTCCCTGTTTTCATGTTTTAAATTGAATCAATTTTTTTTTCCTGATCTGGCAACATGGCTCTGTGGGTAAAGGTACTTGCTCAGGTACCTGACAACCTGAGTTAGATCCCTAGGGACCTACATGGTAGAAGGAGGTAACAGATTCTGAAACTCCTGAAGGTTGCCCTCTGACCTCCACATATATGTGTCCATGCACACACACACACACACACACACACACACAATAAGTAAATGCCTAATTTTTCTTTTTTTCTTGTAGGAAGCAAGAAGTGACAAGAGTCCAGATTTGGCTCCTCCTGTCCCACAGAACACCCCACGAAATCCTATCTCTCAGCCAATTTCAGGTGACCCTGAAGTAGACAAAAAAATTAAGAATCTAAAAAAGGTGAGAAATTCAAATGAAAACCAGATATGTACATCAAAAGACATGTATGTGAAAGTCGCCCAATTAGAGCAGTGCTTGGGTGCCTGAAGCAGGTATTTAATAGGTGGTAGCAGCTCTCAGTGTTGCTTCCTCTCAAAGAAAACTATAATTTAGAAATGGCACACACCTTTAATTCCAACACCCAGGAGATGGATTGCTGTGAAATCAAGGCCAGCCTAGTCTATATAGTGAGTTCCAAGTCAGCTGGGGCCACAGGGAAACCTCGTCTCAAAAACACTGACTAAATAAATGATGCCACAGAGGCAGAAGGCCGCATAGTGGCAGCCCTGGGGTGAGGTTTCTCTTAGACTTTGTCCAGCTGCTGTGGAGTGTGGAAGAGAATGCTGAAGTTAGTGTTATGTTTGCTTGTTCACACCTGTGCACTCAAAATAACATTAATTAAAAACCTGCAGCTCAGCTAGATGATAAGTAAAGGTCTTTCTGTGAACGCCTGGCAACCTGGTTTTGATCCCAGAACTCACAGAAAAGTAGGAGAGACGTGACTCCACAAAATGATCCTCTGACCTGCACATAAGCACTGTGGCACATGTACCCAATCACAAACCTACACACAGAATAAAATTTTCTTAATTAAAAACAAAAACAGGCCCTGGAGTGGTTAAGCACCCTGGCTGCTCTTGCAGAGGACCTGGTTTTGGTTCCCAGCACCCACTTGGCGGCTAACAACCATCCCTGTGCCTTCAGTTCCAGAGGATCTGACACCCTCTTCTGACCTCAGCTGGGAAAAACTCCTTGCAAAACATATTTTGCCTAAGCCATACTTTTAACATCTAATTTTATATTTAACTTCAGAAAAGAGCTAACCCCAGTATTTTAACAGATCGCCTTTGAAAGAAATGCAGTACAATTGTGTGTTAGTAAGAGCATTCGCATTGTAAGGTAACTTCCTTCCCTTTCACTTGGTGTTTGCAGAAACTGAAAGCTATCGAGCAGCTGAAAGAACAGGCGGCAGCTGGCAAACAGCTGGAGAAGAACCAGGTAACGTGGGGTTTGGGCATCGTCATTAGCATGCGTCCTGTGGAGTGAGAGCAAGTAGCTAACCAGAAAGAAACAGATTTTAAAAGCTTGTTTGAAAACTAAGGAGAAAAGCACTATAGAGCGCGGTGAAGGACAGTCTGCATCCCAAAAGGTGTACTAGTGCCATCACTACCAAAATAGCAAGTCCTTATGTTACACAGACAGGGCGTCTCCTCTCGTCTTGTCCTGGCCTTTCCCCTCCTCCTTTATTCAGCTCTTTTAAGCCCAAGTGGATAATGGAAGTCTTATTAAAGGGAGACAGTAAGATGTCTTCTGTTTATTGCCCCTTTGGTTCATAAGAGATAACAAGTTAGAACTGGTTTCTAATCTATATTTTAGTCTGTGTTTACCAGTGGGTCTCATAAAGGGTAGAAGATACTCCTTACTCGCATGCCTTTAATCCCAGCACTTGGGAGGCAGAGGCAGGCAGATCTCTGTGAGTTCGGCCTGGTATACATAGTGAGTTCCAGGACAGCTGGGGCTGCAGGGAGACCCTGTCTCAACCCCCTCACCCCCTCAAAAAGATATTCCTTCTCTAAATTTCTTTCTCCTTTATGATTTTGGTTACAGACCCAATAATTATTTTCTGTTTAATAACTCCATTATTTTAAACTTTTCTAGTTGGAGAAAATTCAAAAAGAAACAGCCCTTCTCCAGGAGCTTGAAGATTTGGAATTGGGTGTTTAAAGATTCACAGAAAGCAGATTTGTTACCAGAAAACAGTACAAACAAATGTTCATCCCATTGATGTTCATGAATTTCCATATGGCCACATTTAATATCAGTCTATTTTTATCCAAGGTTGCATATGTGTGATTATTTAATGATGTCTATTAAATTAACTTTTACATCTGCATCCTGTATCATGTCAGTATGTGGTAAGAGATGAATTTTTCAGATAAACTTGTCAAATTGAGAGACATTTTTTAACGTAGGTAATAGTATTTCATACATAAATGAATAAAGACATTTTAAATTTGTTTTTGCCTTCAAGTTGTATCTGTTCTTTGTATATAAATTTTCAAGGTGTATATCATTCTTACAAGACTATAAAGTGGGTGTTATTATAGTGTCTCTTTCATAAATGAAGAAACTAAGTCATTTGACAATTGTTTGTGATTTTGGGTGGGGGGGTGGGGGGGTCTTTTGAGATAGGGTCTGTCTGTTCCAGCTGGCCTAGAACATTATGCAACTATCCAGACCAGGCTGGCCTCGTTCTCACAGAAATCCTACCTGCCTCTGCCTCCTAAGTTTGGGATTGAAAACATGTACCACCATACCCAGCTTTGTTTTAAAACTTTTTTTTTTTTTTTAATGTGTATTCATGTATTGCCTGCATGTAGGTAAGTGCACCCATATCGTACAATGCCCAAGGTCAGAAGAGGCCGTCGGATCCCCTGGGAGTGGATACGGACAGTTGTTAGCTGCCATGTGGGTGCTGGGATTCGAACCCGGGTCTTCTGGAACAACTAGTGTTCTTAACTGCTGAGCTATCTCTCCAGCCCCTTGTTTATATTTTTCAAAATATTATTAGGTATGTGAGTGTATTGCCTGCACATGTGTAATTGTATCCATGTTGTGCAATGTCCAAGGAGGTCAGAAAAAGGCATCGGATCCCCTGGAACTGGAGTTAGAAATAGTTGTTAGCCACCTTGTGAATGCTAGGAATTGAACCCAGGTCCTCTGCAAGAGCAGCCAGTGCTCTTAACTGCTGAGTCACCTCTCCAGCTCATTCGTATTTTTTAATACTATGTCTGTTTTTCGAGAATTTCATACAATGTATTTTGATGATATTCAGTGCCCCTCCACCATCTCGTCTCAGATCCCCAACCTCCCCCTCAAGTTCATCTCTTTTTTTGTAAAGCACATCACTTCCAGTTTGTGTTCCCCAAATACTCTTGGGTGTGGGGTTGTGCTGGATAGCTTTAGCATCAACTTGACACACCTGGGTTGAGGGAGCCTCAGTTGGGGAATTGCCTCTATTGGACTGGCCTGTGGCCATGTCTGAGGGGCATCTTCTTGATGAGTGATGTGGGAGGGCCCAGCTCACTGTGGGTGGTCCCACCCCTGGGCAGGTGGGCCTGTGTTGCATAAGAAAGCAGGCTGAGCAGGGGCCAGGAGAGCAAGCCAGTAAGCAGCATTCCTGCGTGGACCATGCTCCAGCTCCTGCCTCCAGGTTCCTGCCCTGAGTTCCTACCTTGGGCTCGGCTCCCTGGTGAACTGTGACCTGGGATATGTAAGCTAAATAAACCCTTTCCTCCCCAAGTTGGTAGTGGTCAGAGTGTTTTGTCACAGCAATGGAGAAACAAACTAGGATATGGGTATGGTCAGTCTACCCAGGATGACACACACTTAAAATTGACTTTTCCCCCTTTCAGCTGCTATTGGTTGCCAGTAGCTCCTCAGCTAGGGGTGGGGATTACAGGTCACCTCCCCACTCCATGCCGGGATTTGGTCTGGCTTGAGCTTTCACAAATCTTCTACATGCTGTAAAAACCACTGTGGGCTCACTGTGTCCAGAAGATACTCTTAACCATTTCTCTGTTTTCTTACTTTGGATTTTGTTTTCTGGGGTTTTTTTGTTTGTTTGTTTGTTTTTGGTCTTTTTGAGACAGGGTCTCCCTGTAGCCCCAGCTGGCCTGGAACTCATGTAGACCAGGCTGGCCTTGAACTCACAAAGACCTACCTGCCCCTGCCTCCCAAGTGCTGGGATCAAAGGTGTGTGCCACTGGAGTTATGACAGTTGTTAGCCACCATGTGGGTTCTGAGAACCAACCGAACCCTGGTCCTTTGCAAGAGCAGCCAGTGCTCTTAACTGCTGAGTCATCTCTCCTGCCCCATACAGACACATACATTTTAAAAGAAATGATAGCATATACAAACTCCTCTGTGCCGGGTGTGATGTCACTCACTTGTAATCCCAGAGCTTGGAAGGTAAGGAAGGAGGACCAAGAAAAGGAAAGGAAAGAAAAATAAAGCAAGAATCCTCTCGTGGTTTTTTTCTCTCCTTAAAAGGTTTTGGAGAGCACTCTGTCATACGTAATTCATGCCCCGGCCCGCGGGGTCAGTGACGGTACCTGGATTGGGGAGTGGGGATTTGGATGGGGCAAGAGACAAGAGAAATGGAGACAAGACAGCGTTCTGATCAAGTCTCGTTTATTGCAGCTCAAGCATGAGGTTAAATAGAGTGAAAACAAAGGAGCAAAGATTGAGAGTAATCATATCAGCCAGAACACGGGTCCAGATGTACTCTAAGGGAGGAATCTACTGATTAACAGAAAACAGGGCAGTTTACTAGAAAAGAGTACAAGGCCGTGGGCCAAGGTCGCGGGTTCCGTCCCGTGCCCGCGGGAGGAGAGTGGGCAGAATGGAAAGTTACCAGCTTAGGTCTGTTCAGCAGTTTTAAGAAATGCCTGAGCCTCAGGCTCCCAACAAATTCATACTAAAACTGTGTGCAGTGTATCATTTAGCCAGTTCACACTAATGTACATTGAGATTATGAAACTCAGTTAAGCACCTGTATACACGTGCTTGACACCAAGGCGTAGGCGCTTCTCCACATGCTGGCATCGGATTTATTCGGGTTTTGAAAAATTAGATTCCTGAGACCTTGGGGTGGTGGTCCTTTTTACATTGTATTTCTTTTTGAGTTGGTTCGATACTAGAAAGGGCAGCTGGGAATGCTGACAGTACACAAGTGGGCTTTCAGAGCCCTTCTTGGGTTTATCCACCTGTTCACATATTAATAGCTAAAGCCGGGCAAACTGGCAAAAATTTATATGTAATAAAATGATAGGAATGACTGTGGCAAGCCTTGCTGTGCTAATTTTACCAAAATTATATTTTTTGCTTTGCATGATGGAGGAAGAGTAGATTAAGCTTCGGTGCTCAGTTCTCCATCATTCTCAGTCACCAAGACCATAAAGTCAAACCAGGTTTAGAAAGAACAGCCTTCACTCTTTTTTCAAGTTTTACAGAACCATTTGTCAGGTGTTTACTAGATACGGTGCAATTACAAAGGAATACATGTTATCATTTAGAAATGTCATTATTTGTAGGTCTATTGTACATTTGTAAGTTGGTCTATGAAAGTAAAACAATACCCAAAAGATCTGGTATGGAAAAAAAATATGGCCAGGAAATAGACACAACAGTCAATATATACTGATAGGACAATGTGAGGATGCTACTGTCCTCAACAATATTAACCTTTTTTTTTTTTACATTTATTTAGTGTGTATGTGTGGGCACGTGCATGCCAAGGGCACATGTAGACGTCAGAGCACAAACTGTAGGAGTTGGTTTTCTCCTTCCATTTTATGGATCCTTAGGATCAAACTCAGCTCTTCAGGCTTGGCATCAAGCACCTTTACCCACTGAGCCATCTTGTTGACCCATCACTAGTATTTCTTGTTCTCATCTTGTGGACATGTAGAAAAATTACATTCCCTAATTTTTTTGAAGTTAGGCATTGATGTTATTTGCTTCAGCTAATAAAATCTTAAGAACTGAGGTATATGAGCCCAGTGTGGTGGCACACGCCTTTAATCTCAGTACTCTGGAGGCAGAGGCAGTTGGATCTCTGTGAGTTTGAGGCCAGCCTGGTATACATAGCAGAGTTCCAGGCCAGCTGGGTCTACAGGGAGACCCTGTCTCAAAAAGACCCAAGAGAAAGAAAAAGAAGTGAGGTGTGTAATCAAAAGGATTTATGTAAGTTATTCTTCATCTACTTCCCCTTGCTATGTTGTATCTCAAGGCCTAGCATCAAGAAGGCAGTACCTTATGGTGGATTGAGTGGCTACAGTAAGCCCCTTTTTCTCATGTTGGACTTGTAGTATGAATGAAAAAGACTTGATTTTTTTTTTTTTTTTTTTTTTGATGCAACACCAGGCCTGGCTAGAAGGCAGTTCTGACATGTCCATTTAACAAAACAATAGTATAGATTCCTGCCTAGAGCCTATACCCTCCTCAGTCATGGACTTTTAACCAGGTTTATTATACTAGGTATGAAATTCTCTGATGTGGAGCAAGCCTCAAATACAATCCAAAAGTGATTGGTTACCCCCATAGTATTCATGCCATTATTGCACCAGTAGGTACATCCTGCCTGGTTGGTCAGTATTGTAGCATGCAGGGTCTACCACTGGATAAGTCTATTGATGACTTTTCTCCACCAGTGGCCAACCTGGCACCTCTGGAATTATGAAAGCTAGCCAACAGGGAGGAATATTTCAAATCAGTTCTAGTTTGATTTCTCTATGTCCTGTAACTGAAGTGTGCCGTCTCTTCAGCAACAGAGTCTTGGCCTCTGGAGCCGCCCTGACCAACAACTCAGGGAGATATCCCAGGCCTGACATTGAGATTTTCATTTAACATATGTCTTCTGGGGGAACTGTCCACATAGGCAAAGATACCTCCATTCAAAATCATTTTTTTTTTTTTTTTGGTCTTTTTGAGACAGTGTCTCCCTGTAGCCCCAGCTGGCCTGGAACTCACTGTGTAGACAGGTAGGCCTTCAACTCACAGAGATCTGCCTGCCTCTGCCTCCCAAGTGCTGGGACTACAGGCATGCATCATCATGCCTGGCAAAATCCTTTTAAGAATTATAATTTTTAATTACAAAGTAGTGGGTTTCCAAAGGCTTTTTCATACATTAGGGTTTTTTTGTTTGTTTTTTAAAATATTTTCTGGCCAGATGTGGTGGTGCACACTGTCGAACGCCCCCCAAGCCCACCAGGCTTGGGTCTTCAACAAGAAAGAAACTCAGACAAAAGTCTTAAGTTTTCTGAGGAATTTATTTAAAGGAACACAGTTACAGGAAGGGGAGTGGTTACACGATGGTTCTTTGTTGTGGGGATCACAGATCTTATATAGGACTCAGATTTGAGGTAACCAAGGAATCACCATAGATATTTTACTAACAGAAAGTAACTACGGACGCAGCACGTTGCTGCATTACCTCACCAATTCCAGTGCCCAAAGACCGAACTGAAAGTAAGTTTCTAAGAGACCTGATTCATCATGGAGGCACAGCCTGTCAGCTCAAACTGCTGAAGCGGAGAGCTCAGAAGCTCTTAAAGAGGCACTCTACTTTTACCAATGCTTAAGTCAACCATGGCTCCCGACATACACCTCTAATCCCAGCACTCAGGAGTCAGAGCCTGGTCTACATAGAGCATTCTAAGCCAGGTGGGGCTACAGGGAGACCCTGTCTCAAAAAGACCAAAAAAGGGGTGTATGGTATTTTCTTCACAGCATTCAGGAGTCAGAGGCATGTGAATCTCTGTGAGATCGAGTCCAGTCTGGTCTACATAGTGAGTTCCAGGGCAGCCTGGGCTACAAAGAGACCCTGTCTCAAAAAGACAAATATATATATATATATAAATTTTATGTACATGAGTATGTTGCCTTTAAGTGTACCATATGCATGCAATGCCTACAGAGGCCAGAAGAAGGTATCAGATCCCTTGGAACTAGAATTATGGATGGTGGTTAGGCACCATGTAGGTGCTAGGAATTGAACCTGGGTCCTCTGGAAGAATAGCAGGTGTCCTTAACCACTGAATCATCCCTCCAGTGCCCATATATTTTTAGCTTTGGTTAACCCACACCCCACCCCTCATCCTCTCCATCCCCCCACCACTATTCATGCTTAAACCTTCAACTCTCTGGACTCCCCCCACCCAACTACACACTTTCATATCACGTGTTCTATTCCAAATTCAGCACACAAACCTAAAATTCAAAGCTAGGATCCACATATAACAGAAAACACGTCCTCTTTGTCTTTCTGTGCCTCATTACATTGGTATAATATTTTTCAGTTCTATTTTCTTGCAAATTTCACAATTTCTTTTTTTTTTTTCCAGAGCTGAGGACCAAACCCAGGGCCTTGCGCTTGCTAGGCAAGCACTCTACCAGTGAGCTAAATCCCCAATTTCTTTTTTTTTTACAGCTGAATAAAATCTACTGTGTACATGTGCTACATCTTCACTATTCATTCATCACATGACAGATATTTAAGCTGATTTCATTTCCTAGCTATCATGAATAGAGCACCCATGAACGTGTATGTGCAAATAGCTCTAAAGAAGGATATGGAGTTCTTTGGGAATAGGCCCAGGAGTGGTGGTATAGCTGGGTCACATGGTAATTCTATTTTTAGCTTTTGAAAAAACCTCCACACTGATTTCCATAGTGACTGCACCAATTTACACTCACTCCCACCTACAGTGAATAAAGCTAAGATCTCTTTCCCCACATCTTCACCAGCATTTGTTGTCATTTGTTTTCTTGATGATAACCTGACTGGTGTGAGAATCTCAAACTAGTTTTAAATCACAGTTCCTTGATGACTAATATTTCAGACACTTTTTTGTGTGCATGTTGAACACTTCAAAAAATGTTTATTAGCCATTCATATTTGAGAACTCTGTTTAGAACCATAGCTCCTTTTTAGGGTTTATGTTTTCTTATTTAATATGCTTTCTTTGTTCTGTATATATATATTTAGTGTTTCTAATTACAATATGATGAAGAGACATTCTTTTTTTTTAAAATCTCTTTGTTGCCCTAAATGCCTCCTGTATCTGGATTGGCATCTTTTTCTTTTCTTTTTCTGTCTTTTTGAGACAGGGTCTCCTTGTAGCCCCAGCTGTCCTGGAACTCACTATGTAGACCAGGCTGGCCTCGAACTCCAAAGATCCGCCCGTCTCTGCCTCCTGAGTGCTGGGATTAAAGGCGTGCACCACCACGCCTGGCTGGCAACTTTTTTCTTAAAAGAAAATCTGGGAAATTTTGTTATGATCTTTTGGAAAATATTGTCTATGCTTTTAGAATGAGATTCTTTTCCTTCTTTTATGTTTATTATCCATAGATTTCGGTATTTTCAGAGAGTCTTACATATCTTGGAATTCCCACTGTACTTTATTATTTTATCTTCATCCTTGTTTGATGATCCAATTCCTTCCCCTAGTCTTCAAACTCAGATATTCTGACCTCTCCTTGAGCCATTCTATTGGTGGGACTTTACACAGGGCTTTTCAAAATTATGTTCTCTTTTTCAGCATTTCAGATAGGTTTTGCTTTAGTATTTCCCTTTGTTGAATTCCTTTCGTATCTTGCATCACTTTCCTCATTTCACTGAGTTGTGTTCTTATTCATGCGTTTTTCTTCATTTAAAATTTTTTTAATGTGTATGAGTATTATGCCTGCATGTATATAAGTGCACCTGTGTCATGCAGTGCCCAAGGAATCCCCTAGAACTGGAGTTACGGACAGTTGTTAGCTGCCATGTGGGTGTTGGGATATGAACCCGGCTCTTCTGCAAGAACAGCCAGTGCTCTTAATGGCTGAGCCATCCCTCCAGTTCCATGCTTTTGGTTTTTGTAAGACAGGATCTCCCTATAGCCCCAGCTGGCCTGGAACTAGAAATGGAGACCAGGCTGGCCATGAACTCACAGAGATCAGCCTGCTTCTGCCTCCCTAGTGCTGGGATTAAAGGTGTGTGCCACCATGCTAAGCTTATTTATTATTTTTATGTGTATGAGTGTATTACCTGCATGTGTGTAAGTGCACCCATCTTGTGCAATGCCCCAGAGGTCAGAAGGGGGCGTTGGATTCCATGGAACTGGAGTTATGGATGGTTGTTAGCTGCAGTGTGGATGCTGGGAATCAAACCCAAGTCTTCAGCAAGAGCAGTCAGTGCTCTTAACCACCAAACCATCTCTCCAGTCCCATAGACTTCCTTTTTAAAAAGTTTTTATTACATTTTTGGGGCTGGAGAGATGGCTCAGTGGTTAAGAGCAGTGATTGCTCTTGCAGAGGACCTGGGTTCCATTCCCAGCATCCACATGGCAGCTATGAACTACCCTTAACTCCAGTTCCAGGGGAATCCAAAGCCCTCTTCTGAACTCTGTGGCAGTGCACGACACGGGTGCACTCACATACATGCAGGAAATACACTCATACACATAAAGTAACAATAATAAATATTTTTTTTAAAAAATTTTATTACGTTTTAAATTAATTTGAGGTCAGGGTGACTGCATGCATTCAACTAGAGATTGGAAAGGTCCTGCAGGAGTTGGTTCTCTCCTTCTACTCTGTGGACCCTGAAAGGAACACGTCAGACTTCACAGTTAAGTGCCTTCACCTGCCAAACCCTATCTCCAGCCTCTCTTCTGGGTTTTCTGATACTTTTCCAGGGCCTACGTCTCACCAGGTCAGTGTTTATTCTGTACGAGCTGAACTTCTCCCATTCCTTCGGCTTCAGAGTTCCCCAATCTGACCAGTATTGTGATTAGTCAAAAGGAGCTTAAGAAGGAAAAGCATGTAATACTCGTGGCTAAGGCTTACTACAGCCAAGGATACAGTAAGGAAAAGATGCATCAAAAGACTTCTCACGGAGTCCACACATGGTTCCTCTCCCTTCACTTCCTCCTCACCACCCTCTGAATATGTGGTATACCTCTACCCAGACTAGACCTCTACCCAGACTAGACACTTTGATTTTTCAGAGTCTGGGGCTTTTTCTTTTTTAAATACTTTATTATTTTTATTTTATGTGTATGCTTGTATTGCCTGCATATGGGTAAGTACACCCGTGTTGTGCAATGCCCACAGAAGACAGAAGAGGCCGTTGGATCCCCTGGAACTGGAGTTAAGGATGGTTCATAGCCACCATGTGGAAGCTGGGATTCAAACATGGGTCTTCTGCGAGAACAACCAGTGTTCTTAACCGCTGAGCCATCTCTCCAGCCCAGGTCTGGGGCTTTTATAGAGGGCTTGATAACTTAGGCATGTCCTGACATGCATAGGCTATGAAAATGAAATTCAAAATCCCAATGATAAAATCAGATATATATGCATATGCACATATATATGATCACTTTTGATTATTAAAAATCAATCTCATGGTCTAGGGGTATAGCTCAGTGATAATACATGCACAAGCTCAATCCCCAGGACTGGGAACAAGGAAGGGAGGGAGGGAGGGAGGGCTTAAAAAGCAATCTGATGTATTTAGGAGTGTTATGATTTGCCATTAGCAAGCTGGAGTATCAAAAAGCTAGTTGTATAACTCAGGGTGAGTTCCAGGTCTCCATAACCAGGAATCCCAGTGATTTTCATTTCTTCTGTCAGAGTCTGAAGCCAGTGAGAAAAGATCCAGATCCGAGAATTAAAGCAGTGGTATCTTTTGTCCATGGGCAGGAAACAGTAGGTGTCCGAGCTCTAGCAGAATAAAGAAATTCATCTTTTTTACCTTTAGAAATCATTAAGGTCTTCAGTGGATTAGATGATACCCACTCATCATTGGTAAGGGTACTCTTCTTTCTAGTCTGTTAACTAAAATGCTGATCTCTTCTGGAAATACCCTCACAGACACATCTAGAAATGCTATCTTACCAGGTATCTAGGTGTTCCTTAGTCCCATCAGGTTGACACATGAAATCAACCATCACACCAGACAAGTTAATAAGGCATATTTCACTACTGCAAGCGTAGACAGTAGTCATTAATCATGATTACCCTGAGGATATGGTTCTGGGAGCTGGTCAAGAGTCAACTTTGTTCCACATTCACTTGGAGAGAGCAAGAAGTTTGCACCCAGACCTGGTTTGTTCTGGTTCTCTCACTCTCCCCACCTCCAGCTGATTTTAGAGATTGTGTTTTCTTGTTACATGTTATCTCCCTGTGTTAGCTGCTTTTCTGTTGCCATGATAAATATGATGACCACAGGCAACCTAAGGAAGAGTTTATTGTGGCTTACAATTAGGGAGGGATAGATGTCCATAATGGCAGGAAAGGCATGGTGACAGGAAGATGAGAGATCACATCTCAACTGCACATAGGAAACAGTGAACTGGAAGTGGGGCAAAGCTATAAGCTCTCAAAGTCTATCTCAAGTGATGGACTTCCTCTAGCAAGGCTGCACCTCCTAAAGGTTTCCTAACCTCTCCAAACAGTACCACCAATAGGGAAACAAGTGTTCAAATACATGAGCTGATGGGGGACATTTCTCATTCAAACCATCACATCCATCAACCTTAAAGATTTAAAGAAAAAAAAATTATTTCATGTAACAGTTCTACAGAGAGGGTTCCAACCGTTATGCAATTATGCTCTGCCCAGTTTTCAGGAACTAGAACTAACAGACCCTGCCACCTTCAACATGGGATTTCTAAGGTTCTCACCTTTGCCATTCTAGCAGAGATGGGGAAAGACTGGATGTCCATGGAAAGGTGATTCCTCTTCACCTTGAAATGTAATATCAAAGCCTGGGACCTGGCAGCTCTAACAATCTAGGATCAGCCACTCATCCTCAATAATAGTGAAAGCAGAGCAAAGTTATTATTCAATGTGGCCACACTGGGAAGAGGAACAAATAGAGCGGTCCAATGATCCATCCCCATGTCCACCTTAACTCCTGACAGGAAGGCTACAGTTACACAGCTAGACTTAGCTTAAAGGAAACTGGGAAATGTACTCTCCAACTGGGCAACTAGGTGCTAAGCCTCCTTTCTGTATTCCTAGAGAGGAGCAGATTTTGGTGGATGTATCAAGTCAATGATCCAAATCCAATGATCCTGATGGTTAGTTTGGATCATTGACCTGATACAACATAGAATCGCCCAGGAAAGGAGTCTCAATGAGGAACTATTTTGATTAGGTTGGCCTGTGGGCATGCTTGTGAGGGGTTTTCTTAATTGAGTTAACTGAGGTGGGAAAACCCACCCCAAATGTAGGTGGCACCATTTCCTGGGCTGAGCCCTGGACTGAATAAATAGAAGAAAAGGAGCTATGTGCTAGCATGCATGCATTAATTCACTGCTCTTTGTTCATGACTATGGAGGTAATGCAACCATCTACTTCAAGTTCCCGCTGTCTTGATTTGCCCATGATGATGAACTGTAGCATGCTACTGTGAGCCAAATAAACTCTTTCTCCACTAAGTTGCATTTGTCAGAGTATTTTATCACAGTCACAGGAAATGAAACCAAGACAATGGACAACCAGTCATCTGTGCATCAATGCGTCACTGTATCCATGGGTATGCTAAATGTCTAGGTGCTATTAAGATTATCTTGCTTGTTCCTATATTTATTTAAACGCTGTGTTTTGTTTTGTTAGCTGGACTTCTAAAGCCCTTGTTCCAGAATTTTTGCCCTAGACCATTCTAGCCTCATTGTGATGCACAGTATCTGGCCTTGATTCTGAACTTGCTGGGCTGAACTTCTTGCTGGCTAGGATTATCCCACCTGTCTAATGGCCTACCAGGCAGTCTAGCATCATCTGAACCTTCGTGTATTGTCTGTCTATACGACAGTGACAGCTTAGAGAGCCTAAACCAGGCTTAGAGTAAGAAAGAAGATACATGGTTCTAAATTAGGGTTCTTGCTTTGCAAACAACAAAGTATGTTATAGCTCACAGAATCAAAGGAAAATGCAAATAAAGGGCTGGAGAGGATAGAGGCAGTGATTTGGGATCTAGAGTTCTCATTATTGGTCTATCAGGATTAAATAATTTTAGTAGTCCTTGGCTTTGGACACAGGGACACGTCTCACTGGCAAAGTTTTGGACTTTTAAAAAAAAAATATGTACTATTTGGCACTAGAGAGATGGCTCAGCAGTTAAGAGCACTGGTTGCTCTTCCAAAGGACCCAGGTTCAGTTCCCAGCAACCACATCCAGCTAACAACCATCTATAACACCAAGTCCAGGGGATCTGATGCACACTTATGGCATTGCACACAAGAGCACTTACATACATGCAGGCAAAACACTCATACACCTACAATAAATTTACAGTCTGTAACATTTGTATTATCTGAGAATTTCATACATGCATACACTTCGATCATATTCACCCTTAACCCTCCCCCAAAACTCCTCACAGAACAACCTTCCACCTCTCTACCCACCTCCCAACTTCATGTTCTATTTATTTATTTTTCATAACTCTATGAGTCAATTTGTGCTGTCTAAATACACGTGGGTATGGAGCTACCTACTAGAGTGTGGTTGATTCACTAGGGGCCATACACTTAAAGCAAAATGACTCTTCCTTCCATAGCAGCTCAACTAGGAATAGAGGCTTGTGAGCACCTCCTCCCTCCACGCTGGAATGTTGACTGGTCTGATCTTGTGCATATTTCATGCAGGCAATCACTGCTGCTGTGAGTTCATAAGTGCAGAGGTCCTGTCATGTTCAGAAGGCACTGTTTTGTCCCTGCTATGGTGGTCTGAATGAGAAATGGCCCTCATAGGCTCACATATTTGAACACATGGTCCCCAGCTTGTGGGGATCTTTGGAAGGTTTAGGAAGTACAGTCTTGTTGGAAGTATGTCACCAGGGGCAACTTTGAGTGTTTATAGTTTATAGCCTTACTTCACTTCCACTTGAGTTTCTCAGTTTCCTGCTCTGCCTGCCCCCAAGCCCCTCTCTGCCATTATGGACTCTCCCCCTGAAACTTTTAAGTCAAAATAAATGTTCTCTATAAGTTGCTTTTGGCTATTTTATTATAGCAATAGAAAAAGAATTAATGCAAAAGTTGGTACCAGAGAGTGAGTTGTTGCTGTGAAGAACCTTATCATGTGGGTTTTTTGGAAGATTGTGGAAGATTTGGAAACTTTGGACTAGAACTTAATAGGTTGTTCTGGTAGACACCTGGAAGACAAAAGTACTGAGAGTAATGCAGACTGTAGAGGCTTCAGAAGGAAACAAGGACTTCAACAGCAACTGGGTCAGACGCCATTCATGTCATATTTTGGCAAAGAATCTGGCTGCTCTCTGCCCCAGTCCTAAGAACTTACCTGAGGCTGTTAGAAAAATCAGGCTGGAGAGATGGCTCAGAGGTTAAGAACACTGACAGTTCTTGCAGAAGACCCACGTTCAAATACCAGCACCCACATGGCAGCTAACAACTGTAACTCCAGTTCCAGGTGATCCAACAGCCTCTTCTGTCCTCTGTGGGCATTGCACAACACGGGTGCACTTACTTACATGCAGGCATAACACTCAGACACATAAAATAAAAATATTAAATAAAATAATTTTAAAAATAATGGACTAATTTCTTCTTTGGCTGAGAAAATTTCAAGACAATATAATGTTGAATCTGTGGCTTGACTATTACTAATCATTTTCATTCAATTCTGCAATGAAAATGAACAAATAGGGCAGAAAGAAATAAAACTGTGCAGTCTGGAAAGCAAAAGCACTAGAAAGCTTAATGTTACAGGAAAGGTATGTACCAAAAGAGAAGCAGTATTTATTAAGATTAGTGCTATCAAGCAGAGACCTCCTCTGCACTGTAACAATGGGAAGGGTGTCCTCAGGAAAAGACTCCATCCAGCTAAGCTCTAATTTGTGAAAGGGATTTTCTGCCCCTAGAAAACCATAAACTACAAAGGCTGCTACAAATGTGACTCAAGTGGGTGAGGATCCAGTCCAAGCTGGTCGTCACCCACATGGCTTTAGAGGCATAAAAGACGTTAAGAGGATCATGAATTCTTCCTCTGGAGTTTCAGAGGGCCACCGGGGCCAGGTAATGTGTGTCAGTTCTGGAGTCACTGTGAGAAGACCCTGAGAAGCTAGGAGTCCCTGAGAGGTCATTGTTTGAAACTGTGAAAGTGAAGCCTGCGTTGTGGTAAAGACCCTGAGATGTTGGAGATGCCAGAGTCACAAGGCCATCTGCCAAGGACAGCTACATACCGAGAGTGGAACTGGCTGGACGGGGAGATTTATGTTGCAAGTAGCAAAGCTGGAGGGGCAGAGCCATCTAAACCTTTTGAAACTTAAAGTCCCAGACACTAGGCATGAAAGCACAGGAATTGGTATTTGCCCTGCAGGGTTTCAGTTTTGCTTGGGTTCAGTATTTTCTCACTATGCCTCCATTCTTCCCTTTGGGAAAAGGAATGTATATTCTGTACCATTTTTTGTTGGAAATATGTAATTTGCTTTTGGGTTTTACAGGGGTCACAGTTAAGAGATTGCCTTGAGTCTCAGAAGAGACTTTGGATTTCTGAACAATGTTGAGACTGTTAAAGACTATGGGGAATTTTAAAGTTGGACTAAATACATTTTGCATTATGAGATGGTCATGAGCCTGTGGGGGCCAGGGAGTAGAATATGGTGGTTTGAATGAGAAATGCCCCCCATAGGCTCACATATTTGAAAATTTGGTCCCCAGGAGGTGGGGATGTTTGGGGGGTTTAGGAAGTGCAGCTTTGCTGGAGGACGTATGTCACTGGTAGCAGCCTTTGAGTGTTTATAGCCTTGCCCCACTTCCAGTTGGCTCTCTGATGAGTGTTTGCAGTTGATTTGCACCACAGCCTCCTGCTCTGGCTGCCTGCTGCCATCTCCTCCCCTGCTATTGTGGACTCTCCCTCTGGAATCATGGTCAATATAAATGCTCTCATCTATAAGTTACCTTTGGTCATGGTATTTTATCACAGCAGCAGAAAACTAACTAATACACTGAGTCCTCTCTGACTGACCTCTGGCTCTTACAGTCTTTCTACCCCTTTTCCAAGATGTTTTCTGAGCCTTGGGGAAATTAAGTGTGATACAGATGTCCCATTTATGGCTGAGCACTCCACATATACTTATTCTCTTTACTTTGACTAGTTATGAATTTCTGTGTTAACTGCTTTCCACTGCATAAAGAAGCTTAGGTTCTGGATAGCTTTTAAAAAAACATTTATTATTTTTGTTTTATGTGTATGAGTGTATTGCCTGCATGTATGTAAGTGAATCTGTGTCATACAATGCTCATGGAGATCAGATAATGGCGGTGGATCCCCCAGAACTGGAGTTACGAATGGTTGTTAGTCACCATATAGATGCTGGGAACTGAACCTGGGTCCTCTACAAAAACAGTCAGTGCTCTTAACTGCTGAGTCATCTCTCCAGCCCTGGGTTCTGGATATATTAATTGACAGTCTTAAGATTGTGTGCAGTGGAGTCTGGCTGGTCCTCTAGACAAGAAACTGAGATTCTGTTAAAAGAAATGACTTGTGGACAAAAACAACATGTATTCATTTTATTAATATTACAAAGAACATACTCACCAAACACTCCCTTTCTTGAGGGAACATTGTTTCTTTACCAATTGAACCTTTTTCTAGTCTTCTTTCCCCAAAGCTAAGATTTATTGAGACACCAAATGCCACACCCTTCTCCAAATCATCCACTCAAGGCCCAGACATTGTAACAGAGTCTTCCTATCACTTTATCATTGAGACTCCCTGTGGCTCTCTAAGAGGTACTTAGAAACTATGTTTGCTAAAAATCACCAACTCCTCATTTGGGTCCACAGAGTAACCACAAGAAAGATAAAAGCCTGGCACCTCTGCCTTTATTTGTATGTATATCCTTTAGGCATGTTACTGTCAGCTTTTACATTATTCTGTTCCCCAAAAGGCCTATGAAAGTCTCCAGCAGTAGTTCTAACTTGCAGTCACCTTGGATTCCAGGAACAACTGAACTAAGCAATAAACATCTTTATGATAAAAGACCAAAATCCCTCAAGTAACAGGAGCCTTGGCTGTACAACCCACTCTCCAGATGCAGCCAGTTGTTTATGATGGTGAAGCTGTACCCCTGAGCAGGAGCTAATATCTTACAGGAACCAGATTGCAGAACAGGAATTGAAATATGCATCAAGCATTACCACACCTTAATGAAGACTTCTTACTTATGCATACCCCTTGCCTCTCACCCCAACGCATCTTGTTTTTAATCCTAAATGCCTCTAAAATGGACTTGGGGTCACCTAACCCCTTTATATGTATTTTCCTATGTGGCCACTTTAATTAAATCTCCTTTCTGTGCTTTTTTACCATTACCCATCACTGCATTGGTATACTGGGATTCCTTGTCTGTGGGAAGTCTTAGAACTTTTGCCCTAAAACTTGGGCTCCTCTTGATGTGCATCTCCCCTTGCTGCAATGAACAGTAAATGAAATTGTTCAATTTCTGGTATTTTCAGTGTCTTACAAAAATCTTTGTCCTTGGTTTATGTCTTTGGGTCTATTCAATGTATGCATTTTTTATCCTGATTTGAACAAGTGAAGAGTAGAAAGCAGTTAATAAGAAGCAGAAGAAATTTGAGCAGATAATTGATATTAAGCAGCTTTTTTAAAAGGGTGAGATAATTTGACCCGGGCATGTATGTGCCTTTCATCCCAGAACTCAGGAGGCAGAGGCAGAGGCAGGTGGATCTCTGGCCAGCCTGGTCTACATAGCAAGTTTTAGCCCAGTCAGAGCTACAAAATGAGACGCTGTGTCAAAAAATAAAACGGGCTGGAGAGATGGCTCAATGGTTAAAGAGCGCTTACTGCTCTTGCAGAGGATCCAAGTTCAGTTCCCAGCATCTACACAGTAGCTCACAAGAGTCAGTATCTCCAGTTCCAGGGGATTCAATGCCTTCTTTTGGCTTCCAGATTTCTGCATGCACATAAACTCATGCAAGCACATGCACACACACATATACATAAAAAGATAATTTTAATCCAGGCCTGGTGGCACATGCCTTTAATCCCAATACTTGGGAGGCAGAAGCAGGTTGAAGCTCTGTGAGTTCAAGGCCAGTCTGGTGTACACAGTTCCAGGCCAGCTTTAAAGGGAGATCCTGTCTCAAAAAGACTCAAAAAAAAAAAAAAAAAAAAAAAAAAAAAAAAAGAAAAGGAAAGAAAAAAGAAAAAAAAATCTGGTCAGGTATATTATTTCAAATTTTGCAGTTTTCTAAAATTTGTTTTAAAAATTCTTTTAGGAGAGATCAATATTGTAAGATCAAAGGAAAGCCATTAAAAATTTGACATTCCTTTGAAAAGCTGAGGATCTAGCTCAGTAATAGCGCCGTTGACTAGCACGTACAAGACCCTAGGTTCAATTCCCAATACACCCCCAACCCCCACAAAAAAGGCCTGGCGGTGCAGGCCTGTAATCCCAAGGAAGAGGAGTCAATGGCCAGAGAATCAGGAATTTAAGGCCAGAGTTGGCGACATAGTTAAAGAGTAGCCTGGGCTCAATGAGGATATCCTTTTCTTTTTAAAAAAAAAAAAAGAAAAAAGATTTAGAACCATATGTGCGGAGAATAAGCATAGGCCCCTTCGATATCTCACCAGCAAAATTTCTCCGACTCTCCCTCGCACTCTCCCAGCTTTTGCAGAAATCCAAGATGGTGGTGATCAGGACTTAAAACAGGTCAGCCCTCCTTCCGAGGGGAGCAGGCGCGGGCCGCGCAGGCGCATTCCTGCCTCCCTCGCCGACCTTGGCGGAGCGCGCCTGCGCGGCGGGGAGCAGCTCGGCGCTAGGTTTTGTGCCGGCCGCAGTCTCGGTCTGAAGGCGGCCGGAGCGGTTGACTCGGTGACGATGAGGCTTCTGCTGTTTCTCCTGGTGGCGGCGGCGGCGGTGGTCCGCAGCGAGGCCTCCGCCAACCTGGGCGGCGTGCCCAGCAAGAGGTTAAAGATGCAGTACGCCACGGGGCCGCTGCTCAAGTTCCAGATTTGGTGAGTTTGTTGGCCGCCCCCCACTGCCCGCGCTCGGCGTTGCTGGCTACTCGAGGCCCCGGCTTCGCGGCCTAGCTGGCTGCATCGTCCCTGGCACGCAGGACGCCCAGGCCGTCTCGGTCCTCCGAGTACTGCCCCTCGTTCTCGGTCGTCCCTGGGGTGGTGGACCGGGCTCTGCAGGCCCTTCCGAGGCGGCCCCGCGGCCCCGCGTCGCCGCGCTGCGGTCCCTGGGTCCTAGTGATGTTGCAGCGCTGCCGGAGGATGCCGGGCGGAGTCGGGAGCGGCGGGCGCCGGCTGCTCCTGGAAACCGCTCTGCTCGCCTGCAGCCAAAGGCTCCTCGGCATCTTTCTACCCTTTAGATGCCTGGCGCTTTCAGAGAAAGGAAAAGAACCCGGTTGCTTTCGACCCTGGTCGGTAATTGACTTTGTTGTTGCGGAATAGTAAAGCCTTCGAAACAGGAAGCGGGGCAGTGATCCATTTTATAAGGTGACCGGGTTTGGGAAGCTTTGATAAGCTCCGATTCAAAATAAAAAGGGAGTAAAACCTCCGCGAGATTCACATTTCATTTCAAAAAGTTAAACCTCGAAAGATGATGTTTTCTCCGGAAAGGATGTCAGATGAGCGATTCCTTCCAGAATCCCGGTACACTGTAATATTGCTCTTGCTTTTCAGAGCTACTAAAGTCTAGATTTCCACTTCATCTTTTTGCTTAATCATTGAAGACTAAGCAGAAATTTAGTTTGTGACATTGAAACCAGAAAAATCAGGAAATGAGATGGTGAGGTGTTGTTTTTGGAGTGAAAACTTGCCATTTATTTCTGATTACAAACAAAACTTGTGAGCTTTACTATATATCGGAAATAAATCATTTTTCATGTAAAGGAAAGCATGACAGTCATTGTAAGATTTTCCTCCTTCCCCTTCCTCTCACCCCCCCCACGTGCTAATCACCTGCTGTACACTACTGAAGTACTCCCACAGCCCTGCCTTTTTTTTTATTAGAAAGTGATTATTTCTCCAGCCTATAAATATGGCTAATGATTGTGATACTTTGGATTTAAGTAGTTTAAAGAAAACTGCAGTTTCCAATTTATATAATTTTTGTACATCTACTAACCTGTTTGCACGTTTGCTTTTCCAAAGGACTTTATTTGTCCCTTTGATTGTCCTGGAATTAAAAAAAATGATAATTATAGTTGTGTGTGTGTGAGTGCGCTCACGCGTGCTTGAGAATGGCCAAGTGCACATGTGAAGGTCAGAGGACAGCTTGCAGGAATTGGTTCTCTCGTTCCACCTAGTGGGTCCCTGGGATGGAACTCAGGTCATCAGGCTTACTAGCAAGCAACTTTATCAGCTGAGTCATCTCAATGGCTCAGTATTAGAATTCTTAATAGTTTACTCTGTGTATTTCCTTAAGATTTCTAAAATGATGACCCTAGCTAAGTGGCACAGGATCAGAAGTTAAGGGTTATCCTTTGCTATAGAAGTGGAGGCCAGTCCTGAGCTACCTGAGACCCTGTCTCAAAAAAAAAAAAAACAAAATAATAGGGCTGAAGAGATGGCTCAGTGGTTAAGAGCACACACTGCTCTTCAGAGGACCTGAGTTTGGTTTCTAGTACCCTTGTTGGGTGGCTCACAACCATCTGTAACCCCAGCTCCAGGGAATCTGACACCCTCTTCTGGACTTCAGAGGCACCTGCACTCAGGTGCATGTACTCACACACAAACACAAGTATACACATAATTTAAAATTAATAATCTTAAAAATGAAGCAACAAAACCTACTTTTAAAAGCAGGAACAAACCATGTAGGGAATGTCATTACAATATTAAGCTTCTAAGAGAAGTCATAATTACTTAGTTGAACTTTTGATACTTAGTTTTTAAGTCCAATCTTGTTTAAGAAGTCTAGTAAGAGTTTCTTGACAGCCACCCTAAGCATGTTATATAACAAAAGTGTGTCATTGTTTTGGAGCATATGTATCAGAAGTAGCTTTATTGTTATGCCCTACCAAATGTATATTCAGCTTGTTGCTTTTTTCCTTAGAGATTAATCTTTTCATAGTAAAATGAATATTAGGCTTCTGGTTTTGTGACAGTCTACATGTTTGTTTGGGAAGGGAGACGCTAATGTAATTGAGCATAAACACTTGAAAACTTAAAATTTTATTTAAATTCTCAGTATTATAAATTTATTTTTCATTGACTTAATAGTTTTTAAAAAAAGCTATTTTTATTTTCATTTTGGTTGTTTTTTTATGTCTTGTATTTACTCTAAGTACCTTTTTTTCTTTTTGGTCTTTTTGAAACAGGGTCTCCCTGTAGCCAAGGCTGGGACTAAAAGTGTGCCCCAGCACACCCAGCTCTTAAATACTTTTTCTTTCTTTCCTTTTTTTTTTTTTTTTTTTTTTGATCTTTTTGAGACAAGGGTATCTCTGTAGCCCCAGCTGGCCAGGAACTATGTAGACCAGAATGGCCTTGAACTCACAGAGATCCCCCTGCCTCTGCCTCCTGAGTGCTGGGATTAAATACTAAATACTTTTTCTTAAATAGTCGTAGTTCAACATATCATCTAATAATTAAACCATTTTGTAGTTGCTAGTAGAACAACATAGCAGCTCAGTGAACAATGGAATTGAATTTGAGAGAGGATCAAGCTTATGACCAAGTTCTTTGTTCTTGGGCTTTTTCAACAAATGCTCATTTGGTACCTGCTGTGTGTCAGGAGTTAAAAGATTTCATAGTGCACAGATGGACCACCGCGTGAAGCTTACCAGAATGTCATCCGTTTTGTTCTGTGCATCTGAGTCTTTGGTTTATGATGTTAGTTGATTGAGCGGTAGTAGAATTAGATACTTTGATGGCCTTGGTTCATACTGGTGTTTGGATGTTTAAACATTAAAAAGGAAGTTCTCGCTGGGTGTGGTGGCACACGCCTCAGAGGCAGGTGGATCTCTGTGAGTTCAAGGCTAGCCTGGTCTACATAGTGAGTTCCAGGACAGCTGGGGCTACAGGGAGACCCTGTCTCAAAAAGACCCTCCCCCCCCCCAAAAAAAAAGCAAGTTCTCTAGTCAAGAGTCAGGCTTTAAAGTTCTATCTCACTTTCCTGCTTTGTTTCTATGGCTCAGCGTTTTGTGGTAGCTACCCATAGCCATGATGCTTGCTTATTGTCTCCATATGTATGATTTAACATCTACTTAAAATCTACAGTTGCTGCCGTTTAGGGTTTACTGACTGTAACTCTTTACAGTTAATACTTGAGCATTTGACAAGTGAATTACTGAGAATAGATTAAACAAAGTTAAGGTTTCAAAACATAGTTCAAATATGCTGAATTTGAATATTAACAATTTATGCCAGGACGGCCAACTTCTGCGTACAGTTTTATGAGATAAATGAAGCAGGTATTACAAAAATAGAATTTTATTTAAATGTGTACTGTCTCGGTCTTTGCTTTCACCATATAGGAGAAAGAAAATAAAGACCAAAAACTGAGGGGCTGGAGAGATGGTTTAGCAGTTAAGAGCATGTACTGCTCTTGCATAGGACCTGAGTTTGGTTCCCAGAACCCATGTGGGAAGGCTCATAACAGGTTCAGGGTAATCGGACACTTCTGGCCTCCAAGGGCACTTGTGCTCACATGCGTACCCCCACCCCATACACATAATTAAAAATAATAAATATTTTTCAAGAGACCAAAAACTGATTAATATATTGATACTGCTCAAAGTTAGTAAAATGAAGAATTGGAGAAATGTGGATGAGAGATCATATTAGTTACTGGAGACTTGATATTGGCAATACTTAACGAGTATGCACCCACTCTGTGCATGTACGAATTTCCATTGGTGCAAGGGATTCCATTCTGTATCTTGTGGCTTTTATAGACAAGAACAAAGACACATTAGTTCATGAACTACTGGTACATAAAATGGCAATTCTGCCAAGCACTGTGAGGGAAGATTTTGATAATATGCTAGTCAGGGATTAGAGTTCTTTGAGGAAATGAATTTGGAACTGAGATTATCTATGTGTGTGGTCCTGTGGGTGTGTGTAAGTTGTCATTCTTCCTCAGGATCCTCCACCTTGTTTTTTAAGACAAAGACTCACTGTGACCTGGCGCACACCACCATACTTGGTTTTTATATGCTGATGCTGGGGATCTGTCATAGGTCCATTATGCTTGCTTTGCAAGCACTTTCTCAACTGAGCTCTCTCCCTAGTGCTTGAACAGAAATCTCATGGTAAGATTTGTTTCCACAGGTTTATAGGCAGTGGGATGTGTGCGAAAACATTTTTCATGAGAAGCCCAAGGCTGTTGACTTCAGAGAGCAGGTGGCACAGACCCTTGAGATTTCAGCAGGCATTGAGTGCATCAGAAAGGCCAGCTAATTTTATTATGGAAAAGGCATTCCAGAGGATGAAGAATGGAAGGGAAATACTTAGAGAGGGCTTTGAGAATTCAACTGAGAGGTGATGGAACTTGGGACTCTCTGTGTCTGTGCATTCCATGTTCATGGATTCAGCCAATCTTAGGTTGAAAGTATTACGCCTGTACTGTCATCATTCTCTCTAAACAAGAGTACAACAGGTGTTCCATTGTGTTAGGTATTGAGTAATCTACAGACCTGCCTAAACTCTATGCAGATACTGTTCCATTTTGTATATGCACCTGCAGATGCTCCTGGAACTGAGTTCTATCAGTGCAGTAGACTCTGTTTGGAAGGGAGGCAACAGCCATGTCAAAGATGATGGGTTCTGGAATAATATGTCATTTCCTAGAATTTAAACAACTAAAAGAGAAGTTTTGTGGATTAGTTTTTGGTAAGGAGGAATGGAAGGAAAGTTAAAGACGGTAGCCAGGATAAAAATCGTAAAAACGCCGGGTGTGGTGGTGCACACCTTTAATCCCAGCACTTGGGAGGCAGAGGCAGGCAGATCTCTGTGAGTGCAAGGCCAGCCTGGT